TATAAGATTGTGGAGTAGGCCTACATTGTGTTTCTAAATTAAGACATTTATGTATTTACTGCCTTCGAGTCAATTTCAACTCATGGTAAACTTCTACTCTAGGATAGAGTGCCACTGCCCAGAGGGATTCCAAGGCTGTAAATCTTTATGGAAGCTAACACATCTTTCTCCCACTGAGCACTAAACCACTGCACTTCCAGGGTGCCTTAAACATTTATAAGGATGATAAAAATATAACATGGAAAACTACTAAAAATCATATATGAACTGACTGGCACATAATGAAATTTGGACTCAAGTCTACAGTTTATAACCTAATATAATGCCAAAAATGTCACATTTTGTGCTTAAAATATTACTGACAACTAAGTTTGCAAGAATGCCAAGAGGCATCTACAGTAACTGTAAAATTAATAAGCAGGGCTGCACTAAACAATTCACTAATAAAATGAAAAAAAAAAAAAAAAATTCACCAGCAGGAAAAGGGTGCAGTGGTAGAGAACATTGAGCCATAAATATTATACCCTGAAACAGAAGATTCTGTTAGAAGGTGACTTAACATTAACTCCTTGCTCTAGCATTAGCCCCTCTCGGTAACAGTAAGAAAAGAAGGTGGGAGCTCTGGTAGCATAGTGTCTAAGGCACTTGACTGCTAACCAGAAGGCTGGCGGTTCAAAACCACCAGCCACTCCTCGGAAGGAAGGTTGGGCAATCTACTTTCATAGTGATACTGCCTCGTTAACCCAAGGAGGGGTCGCTATGAGTCGGGCTGACTTGACAGCACATAACAGTAACAACAACAAGGTAATCTAGATACTGAGAACATAACAATTCAAAACACAAAGTTCTTAATTTAAGAGGCCTTTATGCTAGCTGGAAAAACTGAAAAATAAATTTATATATAACACAGAGGTCTTCTCATTTTTCCCTTGGTAGTAACTCTTGAAAATAAAGTGTTTCCTTGGCTCCCATAAATCATGTAAACTAAAGTTATTTTATACTTTTTCAACTACTGAAAAGCATCAAAGAACATTATAGAATTTTATCTTTTAAAATGAATTCCATTGTGTATGTAATCTAACGCATTCCTTTTACAGATGAGAAAATTGAAGCCTAAAGAAACTAACTATTAGCCTAAAATAACACTATTGTGGCAAATCAGGATCAAAACCAAAGTCTCTTGATCTACCACATAACATAGCCTGCTGGTTAAAATTTTGGTAAGCTTATGAACACAAATAAAACTTCACAAGTAAAGAACTGCTGAAAATACACATCCACAACATTTAAAGACTTAGAATGTTGCTCTTAGTTGTCAATGAGAAGTTTATCAGCTTCTGAAAATTGTATCTATAAATAATTCTGACAACATCTTAAAGGGAAACATCATAAATCTCAGATCAAGCAGTCAGATAGCTTTTCTTCCAATCACTACAAGATACAATTCTCAAAATCTTTAGAGACTAAAGAGCTTTACTAGAGGAAATTATGCTAAAGAGGAAAGAGAAACAAAATAGAGTCATGATATTTATACTTGGTAAACTATCAAGTAGAAAATTCAGAGTCCTGGAAATTTAATATCTCATGTGAAGGACAAATTTCTATGTACATGTATACCTTCACAACAGTGAAACTGACAAAAGTGACTTTACCTGCTAGAGCCCACTCTCCTGTGCCATGGGTGTGCCCACTGTAATACAGAACATACGTATCGTGTCTAGGTCCATCCACAGTCCGAAGTTCAAGGAACGCTTTCAGCTTGGAATGCAGAGTATCAAAAGACAGTCCACTTGTGGAATAGTCGCATCCATAGGTCTCAATCATATGATATGCAAAAAATCTTTGGATGGCATTGAGCATGCCTGTAGACCTGAGATTTAACTCCTGAACATGTTCTGGTGGAAGAAGTGTTGGTTGACCATCAGGACTAAAGTGGGACAAAGAAAGATTATTTTGTGGTTTATGAAGTGTTCATTCTCTACCACCTCTTTATCCATCATTTATAATTGATTATTTAAGAATCATAATACCAAAACCAAACTCACTGCCATCGAGTCGATTTGACTCACAGTGCCCTTTCCTTGGGTTTCTGAGGCAGTATCTGTATAGAAGTAGACTGCTCAATCTTTCTTCCATAGAGTGGCTGATGGGTTTGAACCTCCAGCCTCTGGCTAGCAGTAAAATGCCTTAGGCACTATGAACCAGAGCTCCCAAGAATCATAATAGCTGCTACTAACTAACTGGTTGGGCAATCCTACTTCCGTAGTGATACTGCCTCAGAAGCCCAAGGAGGGGTCGCTATGAGTCGGGGCCGACTCGACGGCACATAACAACAACAACAACAACTAACTGGCAGATTTCTTTTTTTTAAAATCATCTTTTAAAATTCCTACATTGCTAAGAAGTACGCTTGGACAATCAATACTGGTTTCTTAAAATTGTATTCCTTGTCAATAAAATAATAACCAAACTAAAAGCTGGGAGAATAATTATCTCTAAATATTGACATTTGTACTCTCTGTTCTTTAGTCATTTCTGCCTACCAAATGACAGATATGGGACAAGACTTTTAAAAAATATAAGGTTATTATATTCATTTTGTTTCAAAAGTTTCAAGAACACCCAGGTTTATATTAAGAATTTTTTTTTCTTGAGAAATAAAATTTTAATGTAAAATATGGAAGCAGTATTTTAAATTATATATTTCTATAATGAAAAGTATGGGCCTTTTATAAAGCTGTATTCAAGTTTTATTAACTTAAAGTACATAACTTTTAGAAGAAATGATCTGTTAATATACTGCATTTTAAAACAATTATTAAAATTGAAGTCACTACCTTAACCTACTAAATACAAATTGAAAATTTAGACCTGATACTTAAACGAGTGTAAAATAGTACTGTAGTAAAGACAACAAATTAAGTCTTAAAACCAACAATCAAAACACTATCACTACTGAGATAACTATCACTCCTTTCCAGAAATTTGAATTTGAATTTCAGAATTCTGAAAACTTTACATTTAGCTTCATGTATTATCAATATTATTCTCCTAACATTTCAGTTTTCATTAAAAGAACAAAAAGATTTTGTTCCGTGTTTGTAACATTTCACTGTCATAAAAAAGGGAAAAAATAAACAAAATTACAATGGAAGAAAAATCTAACTATGTAAATTACTAATTCCACACATTCTTTCTGCATAGTTGTCACTTCTATTTACCCCTCTTTATAGCCTTCAATTTTTTATCAAACCTTAATATGGAAGAAAATATCTACTGCAAATAGTCTCTTTTCAGTTTCCTTGACAAGTATTTCAACTCAGATAAAAACTTTTAAATTTTTACCTCTAGAAAAGTATGATGAACGCTAGGTCATCAAAATTCATTAATGGCAAAGAAACTTTCTTGATTTCAGAGGTGGTGGTGGTTGTTAGTTGCCGTAGAAACAATTCCACCTCGTGGTGACCTCATGAGTTACAGAGTAGAACTGCGCCACAGGGTATTCTTGGTTAAGATCTTAACAAAGCCCTGGCAGCACAATGGTTAAGCACTCAGCTGCTACCTGGAAGGCTGGCAGTTCAAATCCACCCAATGCAAAAAAAGCCTATGAGGCAGCTCTTACTTTGTCACACTGGGTTGCTATGAGTTGGAATCAACTCCGTGGCACACGACAACAACTGTAAGAGAAGCAGATTACCAGGTCTTTTCTTCTACAACACTGCTAGGTGTGTTCAAACAACAACCTTTGGGTTAGCAGCTGAGTGTTTGTGTGTATAGGGACTGAAATTTCAGAGGTATTGAGCTCTGGTGGCATAGTACCTAAGGCATTTGACTGCTAACCAGAAGGTTGGGGGGTCAAATCCTCCACCAGCCACTCCATGGACTGGGCAATCTACTTCCGTAAAGATTTACTGCCTTGGAAACTCAAAGGGGACCTCCATGAGTGGGAATGACTCAATGGCAGTGAGTTTGGTTTGAAGTTTTGGTATTTATAATATAAAAATTAAAATGTGGCATTATTTACAGAATCATACTGATGTCCCACACATTTTAGGGCAAAAATTATTTTGGAATAAAATTTCAATCAAACAAATATTTATTAAACTTCACTGCCAATCTTTTGAATCCTTGAGATATGTGTGGTATTTTCATATGTGCAGAGTGTTTTTACATTCATGTTATTAGCTCTTCATAACATTATTCTGAGATGGGCAGAACACATATTATTACTTGCACTTTGGCTAATGATAGCAAAGATCACAGGCATTATGATTTGCCCAAGGTAACAAAGAACTAGAATTTAAGACTCTTTGGTGCACATTCCATTATATTTTACATGGCATTTTCTTAAACACAATATCCCTTTTAGGTTAGGACCTTACCTTAGAAAATTCATTTGTATTTTCTGATTTCTGGCTTAAATAGAAGCTAAAAATACTTATTTTAAAAATATTCAAATGTGTTATTTAAATATTTAAACTGAATCCTAAAGATAATATTACTTAAAGCAGATACAGGTTTTTAAAAATCTAGAATAAATGAAGAAATGTAACATACTATTATATTTTGAAAATATAATTTTGAAAAATGAGGTATCATTTTATAGTCATATTCAGGGAAGTATTAAGAAAATGTTGAGTCAAGTAATTACGTGACTACATTACTGTACCTGCAGAAGTTGGTGGGAATCACAATAGCATATCCAACTGATGTTCCTCCTAAACAGTTACCCAGTTCATGGAAGAGCCCATGAGCCATTGATTCCAATGGCAAAACAATGAGGAACATGCTCAAGAAGATTCCATTTGTTGGCTGAAAGAAATGTTCAATGATATGTTAACACAGTATGCTTGTCTACATGAATATATTTTTACATTTACATGTAAAATAATAAAATTGTTATTTACAACTTTACCCCTATTTCAAAAAAGACAATTAATGATCTAAAAATAGTTGTAAGCTGAAGCAGTCAAGTATACACGGATGAGCTGACTAACGAAACAAGCCCTCAATTTATCTCTACATTTCTTGGAAGTCACAGAAAACAAACAGAGCATACCTTTTTTGTTTTTCCCCCATTTGTCAAATAATATCCCACCCCAACTAAAAAACAAAAATAATCACCTCTTTCCATATGACAGCCAGAAAACAAATCCTTTCCTGATAAAACTCACATGTTCCAAATAATTTTTAATGTTTATGTTACCAGAAAGAGAACTTTAGAAAGGGCTCATTGCTTTCCCCATAAAAAGAGAAGTCCACATATTGAGACTAAAATCTTAAAAAAAGAAAAAAAGATCCTAAAGCTATTAAAATTAATTCTATTCTTACATTTAATTAAATTTAAAACACAGTTTTTCTTCAAAAAATTCTAGTCTCTCTGTATGACTAAATTCAAAACTGTGAAAACAAAAAGAAAATATTAAGGATATTTATACATTCTAAGAGGAGAAAGCAAAGCACAGAGACAAAAGAAATATTAAGAGAGGGCAAATAAGGTAGTAATTGCAATAAAAAAGTAGAAAAAATTAAAGGACCAATTTAATATATATGTTTATATTTTATATTTCTTTAGAAGATTTATGTTATTTCATATTCTTTCTGCATTGCTACTGCATAGATATACTATGGTATTTAGACTGCTTAAATTTTCCATTACTATAAACAAAGCTAGAATAAATATCAAAGTTCTGCTTACTGATGAGGCTATCTTTGACCATTTGAATTTCATTTTGGTAAGGTGTTAAATATTTTACTCAACTTTCCACAGGGCTGTCTTTTTCTTACTGATTTATAGTTTTGTTTTTCTCTCAAAATATCTTAGATAAAAATCTTTTGTTGGTCGTGTTACAAATACCTTCTCCCCAGTGGCTCCCTTGATGTTCTTTTTTGCTTAACATAAATTCTTAACTGTAACATAGTCATTTTGTGTCTTACAAATCTTTCTTACCCAAAGGTCAAGAAGGTATTTTACATTATCTTCTAAAAGCTATATTGGTTTGCCCTTCACACTTAGGTCTATAAATGTAACTGATTTTTGTTTATGACAAGAGCTCAATGTCATCTTTTTCTATATGAACATCTAACTATCTAAGCACCAATTACTGAATATATCAACCATTCCTCATTACTCTGATGCCATTTTTGTCATATATGAAGTTTCATGGATCTATTTCTAGACTCAATTCTCTTCCATTGATGTATTTGTCTATACATTCAAATATTTTCCTTGCCTTCAATTTTTCCCCTTTTTGGGATGCCAACCACAGATTAGATCTCTCTTTTTCTTGCAGGGTGGTGGTTATTGTACATTTTTATTTTTATTTTTTTTTAAGAGCTTGTTTTACATTCAATGTTACGTGTACATATTCTTAATGTATCTTCTGTGAGTTTTATTTTTTTCTGTACAGTATTTCCTTTTCTGTGCTCTTTTGTGCACAACTTCTTCTGAATTACATCTTCCAGTTCACTAATTCTCTATTCAGCTTTGTCTAATCTGTTAAACTTGTTCAGTGAGTTAATTTCAGGGCTTTTTTAAAAAAAAATTCTAAAATTTGTTTGATTCTTATTCAAATTTGCCTTGTCACTTTTTATACTTTACAGTTCCCCATCATTATTTACTATCTTTGCTTTTCTTCTTTCAACTTTGTAAGTATAAGGGTTTTTTCTCTATGCTTGATAATTTCAATACTGTAAGACTTTTAGGTCTGTTTATTGTCTTCAGATTCTGTTGCTTCTTGCTCTTGATGTCACGTATGTAAATGTATGTGTATATTCATGATTACAGTATGAGCTGAGCACTGTATGTAAAAAGAAAATCATTATATGGCTAATTTGAAGCCTAGAATAATATCTTCTTCAAAAGAGGACTATTGTTTCTTCCAAACAGTTGGGGACATTACTAGTGTCCATATCTTCTTGCCATTTAATCAAGATAGGACTACTGAGGAAGACACACGGCCAGGATGCAAGCTCATAAGGGGACTATAATTCATATGGGCTCTGCATTTTTCCTTCAGTGTCTTAGCTTAAAATGAGAGACAATTAGAGATTTCACCTCTAGAGTCCCTGGGCTTTGATTTTTTGCTCCCCTTAAGGGCACTAAAAGTGCAGTTCAGCATTTAAAACCATTTCCTTTATACTAAGTGTCCTCAGGGCACAGTGTTGTGTCTTCCTACCCTAGAAAGCATGGCTGTTTTTCCATTTATTCAAGTTGCCTTTTATAATGTTCAGTGGAGCTTTACAGTATTTATTTGTAAAAGTCTCATGTTTCTTTCTTTCATTAGGCATTTTATCTTTCTTTTGCTCTTATGAATGGGATCATTTCCACTACATTTTCTAACTGATCATTGATTTCTAGGCTATTGATTTTTATATACTTGTATGTTATCCTTTGCTATCATAATGGTATTAATAACTATATTTGCACTTGTTATTGTTATGTGATATCAAGATCCCTCCTTGGGTTTCCTAGGCAGTATCACTACAGAAGTAGATTGCCCAACCTTCCTTCCGGGGAGTGGCTGGTGAATTTGAATCCCCAGCCTTCTGGTTAGCAGTCAAGTGCCTCAGGCACTATGCTACCAGAGCTCCCATATTTGCACTAGAAACACCATTTGTTTTTATGTAACTTATATAATGTGATATGCTTTTCTAAGTCCACAAGAATTTGTGTAATTTTTATACTGGCTGGTTTAACAAAAATTAGAACAGTAAGCAAAAGCAATCTCTTATCAAAAACATAATTTATAACTTAAGGAGCCCTGGTGGTACAACAGTTAAGTGCTCAGCTGCTAACTGAAAGGGTGGCTGTTCAAACCTACCCAGTAGTAGTTCTGCAAGAGAAAGATTTGGTGACCTGCTCCTGTAAACATTGTCTTAGACAACTCTATGAGGCAGTTCTACTCTGACATGGGGTCTTTTCAAATCAAAAATCAACTCAATGGCACCTAACAACAACAACAATTTACAACCTTAAAGGAGCAAAACATTTCTCAACAACAAGCATTCTCACAAATATACTCTGTTGTTGTTATGTGCTGTCGAGTCAGACCCAACTCATAGCGAGCCTTCCTTGGGTTTCCGAGGCAGTATCAACACGGAAGTAGATTGCCTCATCTTCCTTCCGAGGAGTGGCTGGTGAGTTTGAACCACCAGCCTTCTGATTAGCAGTCAAGTGCCTTAGCCACTATGCTAGCATTTTAAAACTAGTTTTTCAGTTAACTCTTAGGTTTGCCAGGTAATTATCTGCAAATAATGATAATTTCATTGCTTTCTTTTTAATTTCTTTAACTTCTATTATGTATGTTACTCCATTTTAATAGAAAATGCTTTGATGAATCCAACTTACTCACCAAAGAGAATTACTTTCAAATTATGTCAAACATTCATATAAAATAATTACTAGTCAATAACAGTAAGAGCTCTGGTGGTGCAGTGCCTAAGGCACCTGACTGCTAACCAGAAGGCTGGCGGTTCAAACCCACCAGCCACTCCTCAGAAGGAAGGTTGGGCAATCTACTTCCATAGTGATATTGCCTTGGAAACCCAAGGAGGGGTCCCTGTGAGTTGGGGCCGACTTGATGGCACATAACAACAACTGTCAATAACAAACAATATTATGACTTTCATATTTCTACCTTTCATGTCCCAAAACTAAAACCTTTCTGATCAAGACAGCAACAGAGATGCTAAGTAATTCACCATCTTATCCTTTACAGTGGTGGTTGTTGTTGTTACATGCCATCGAGTCGGACCCGACTCATAATAACCCCTCCCTGGGTTTCCTAAGCGGTTTCACTACGGAAATAGATTGCCCAACCTTCCTTCCAAGGAGTGGCTGGTAGGTTTGAACTACCAGCCTTCTGGTTAGCAGTCAAGTGCCTTAGACACTATGCTAACTCAAATGCAATCAGAGGCCAGCCAATTAGATGTGTGAAGCAGCTATGGAAGTAACAGTAGTGTTAAGAATTCTAAATGAAGATGCGTTGCTATCTAAACATATGCAAGAAAATGTTCTGGGCAAATAAAACTAGTCTACTCAATAATCTTATAGTTATGTTGAATTTATTTAGTTTTGTTCGACAAAACATAATTATAGGATTTTTAAATAAAACTATTTCAAGGAAATAGCATCCTCTTTCTAAAAAAACAAACCCTGTACATTAATTCTAATATCAGTATAGTTAGTTTATTAATGGCTAGAGTGAAAATTTCAAGTGTTTGAACATCTATCATGTTCCAAGAGTTACCAGGGCATTTCTTGACATAGAGAAGAAATGTATACTTTAAAGAAAATTCACAAATAAGCATTAAGGAATTTGTTATTCTCAGAACAGGGAACAGGAAACAGGGAACTTAATTTTGCCACTGAAATGGTAACTTAAAGTATTACTGACTTCTACATTAAAGAATTTTATAAAGCTAACGCTGTTGTTGTTGTTGTTATGTGCCGTCGAGTCAGCCCTGACTCATAGCGACCCCTCCTTGGGTTTCCGAGGCAATATCACTACGGAAGTAGGACTGCCCAACCTTCCTTCCGAGGAGTGGCTGATGGGTTTGAACCGCCAGCCATCTGGTGAGCAGTCAAGTGCCTTAGCCACTATGCTAACAAAGTTCCCATAAAGCTACTAGTACTAAGATTTTTATTGTGAAATGAATGATATGTTGTAGTTTTTACTTTAAAAAAAAGATATTTAGCAGTTCATAGTTTGGCAACAGACTACATAAAAGATAAAGTTCAATTACCAATCAATTTGTAGATGACTCAAGTGGGAAGCCTGGTTAAAATAACTTAAAATTTCATCTAAAAT